CTCATGCTCAAGCATAGATTTTGTGCTCAAGCCTAATTTCTTGTTCTGGTTACAACTCTGACAATAAACAAATCGTAATTTTTCAATGATTTGGAAACATTTTAAAGAAACTTAAAGCCAAATACTGACACAGATTCCATGCTTGAGCACGAGAGCAGTTTCATGAATACGGGCCCTGATCTTCCTTGGTTAAAAATATGGCAGTTTAACAGGCTATCATTGATAACATCTTTTATTTTGTTTGTTTAGGTATAGAAACTTGCTGTTGCATTATCCGACTGTCTTCATAACGAAACACAAAAACAGTTTAAGATCTAACAAGAGGCAAAATAGTCCTGCATCACTCATCTGGTATTAATCTGATACTTGTAACCTTAAAAGTTGACTTAAAAATAAAGCTACAGAAAATATATCATTACCTATGGAGAGGTCATTTAAAGGTTTATATACATTGGACCATGTGACCTTGTTAGTGGATCAAGGTCATCACATCACAAACATGATAACTCTTCATCTAAGCATTTTACGGGACAAATATCATTACTCTATAGATGCCATTTGGTTATTCTGCAGTTGCTCATAGTCTTTTTTCAAGAAATTTGACCTCTGTGACCTTGAATATGGGTTAAGGTCACTCATTTGAACAACATTGTAGCTCTTTATCTGTGTTACTGGCGAAATACCATTTGGTTACACGAAAGATGTTTTTTAAAGGTTTTTAACATTTTGTTTCAAGTGTCATTATTTGTGGTGATACCTTCAACATCATAGTCCACATCGTCTGTCGCCTTGTACAGTTTCTTGTCCTCAGCTAGCCATTTCTGTGTTATCTATATAATAGGAAAACAGTGACGATCAATAATATCAAGGCAAACTTCAAGGGCATCTCCTAAGTGTGTCATTACGCCATGCAGCTATCAGATTCTTTGAAACCGTAACATTTATCAGATTATAATGACAAGCATTTGACGAAAACTTTAGGATAAACACTTAATATTCTCACATCTAATAGAGTTTCTCAGTAAGGGTACCATGACATGCATGGTAGAGAAGCATATAGCCTACTCCGACCTGTTACCTGTAAACAAAAGCTTTAGACTGACCTCTATAATCGACTTGTGGTCATCTATAACCTCCTCCTCAATTTCCTGCATATGGTTGACAACTTCGTGGAATGTCAGCATTTCATCCGTGACCTCTTCCTGCAAACAAATATTGAAAAGTAGGGGATAGGCCTTTACACGTGTATGAAAATAGTCTCATTGTGCAATAGATTTCTAAAAATAGTAATGGTAACCCTTAGGTATTTTAATGTGACCTCAGCCTCTGGAGCAAATCATCAAAATCTTTGTTTCTTACCACACTAAGGGATGGAGATTTTGCAATTTTCTCCATAACTTTTGCTTTAATACTCAAGTTCTATTTACACAGACTTTCAAACATGTCAAGACCTTAATTAGGCTGTTGATTAGGTTTGTTGCTAGTTTGTTTAGATGCAATTTTGGAACAGGCAATCAGTTTCATAATCTTATGAACAATCTACCATTTCCTCTATCACCTGTTTTTCGCTTCAGGGAAACATTCTTCCCAATGGCCCTCTTGCCTCTTAAATTTTTCACAAAACCTTGTCTTTTGGGAAGCAGTGAACATGATGTCAAAGAGTACAGATTTTTCATTTGAGTTACCGGTTTTTAACTTACACTAAACAATCTCACTACCAGATCACATAGTGCCATAAATTAACTTTGATTGCTTCAAGGGATGATGTTACACTTTAAAATCATTGATGTTCTTAATTAATGAAAAGATCATGTAATTTCAGATTACATTTGATGGATTTAGGTTAGATTTTAGTGTATTTTACAAGTGTGAATTTAATTCAAACCTTTCCTGCAAAAAACTGGTATGACTCAAATGCACTGCAGTGCAATATCGATTATGTCTGAACTGCATTATACCGGTTTTTCTCGGTATCCATTTCACCTCTATCAACCTTAACTTTGATCTTTGAACCCTGAACACATCATTTTAAGTGTTCTCATTATTGAACTTTTTATTTTGTTTTAATTTTGTTTTAATTTTTCAAAAACAATGTTGCCTAAGTGACAGACTAAAATCGTAACATATTTCAATAAATAGTAACATTGGCCTTGATCTTAGAATCCTGAAATATGAACTCATTTGAGATATTCTTGTACCTCATCGTGGTATAAATTCTGATCAAATCTGTTACGAAATGAGGTTGCTAGAGCGATCACACTGAATATTGGGATGGGGAAAAAGGTTACACAAAGCGACACGGGCAACACTACAGCTCCCAACCCCCATAAAGTGGTGGGTATTATAGGGAGTCATTCAAATATTAACAGCAAAGAATCACAAGGGTCTATATATGTTTTCATGCACTTAACAATCACTGTGTCTTACATTGGAGGTTTTTAACATCTGTAGATCACTGTTTTGTGGAGACATAGCACCAAGGTTGTAGTTGTTGGGTAGGGCCACCTCCGCCGGCTTCCCCTCCACAGGTCCTCCTGGTCCTAGCTCTTTTACTCTGTAATACACAAATCATCAGTTTGGTTTGGTTACGTTTGTTTGTGTTTTACGTCCTATTAACAGCTATG